CCCATCCTGGCCTAGCCTTGCCTTGGCAGGATGTCCCAGATAAAGCTTACCAATGAGCTGTTAGCCAGGTTTGGGGATCAGGGGATCTTTGCCTTCCAAGCAAAGAGAACAGCAGGTACACAAGGGTAGAATCTATATGTTGTACTTGGGAAGAGCCAGTTGTTTCATGGGAAAATAAAGCTGGAGAGATGGGAAGGGGCCAGCAAAAGCTTTCTGATAGAAAATAACCACACACCTGGTCTATACCCTGTTTAAAATAGCAGCTGATGCACTTCCTGATTTCCACACCACTGTCTTCTAACATGCTGTGTACACATTTACTCTGTCTAATGTTTATTGTCTTATCTGCCTACCACTCAAATATAAGCGCCTCGAGGGCAGGGGTTTGTTTCCCAGGGCATTCCCAGCCCCTAGAACAGTACGAGGCAGGCACTCAAGTATTTTTGCATCGATGAATCTGTGCCAGACTTTAATGGATTTCAGGGTACAAAGTAAAAAAGTTCCATTTCTCAAAATTGTCAGTTCCATGTGAACGGAGTTACAATACAGCATAAAAAAGAGAACATAATGAGGTGGGCTTCCCAGAGCTGTTCTGGCAGAGGGGGCCCACAGCAACAGGGCGAATCTTGGCCTGTCTTTTCCCACACAAGAGGAGGGAAATGGGAATGTGCAGGGCAGCCTGTACTACCACTTCCTAACGCAGCCCCGCCCCTCCCCAGCTGTCCATGCTGTTCACCGAGGAGTGCGACAAGGTGCGGGACCTGATGCACGTGCACTCATTCAGCTATGACTTCCACCTGCGCCTCGTGCACCAGCATGTTCTGGGAGCCCACCTGGTGCTGCGGCACGGCTACCACCTCACTACCTTTCTGCGACACTTCCTGGCCCACCACCCTGATGGGCCCCACTTCGGTCGCAATCACATTTACCAAGGTGGGTGCCCAAGGGCAACCTGAAAAAAGAAACAGGTCACAAGGCGTGGGCTGGTGGGACGACTTCCTAGGGCCAGACTTCATCTTTCTATCCCATATTGTTAATTGCCTCATATCAATTGGACTGTGTCCCCACATCTCTGTCTTAACTTCTTCACAGTGTATTTCCTATCACAGCTTAGATCCTGTGTTGTGTACCCTGCCCTGTGTCTGTCCTGAGCCACTCCGTCCCACCTTAATTTTTCACAGGACTCTAGGAGCTCCCCAGAAAGGCAGAGCCAGTCGGCCTGTCAGTCAAAGCCTTAGGGGCTCCTAACCCTCTAACCAACCAGGCTGGTGTGTCTATCGCAGGCTCACTGTCTCCTGTAATTCGCCCCTTAGGGACCCTGGAGCTCCCCACCCCGCTCATTGCTGCACACCAGCTGTACAACTATGTGGCTGACCATGCCAGCTCCTACCACATGAAGCCACTGCGAATGGCCCGGCCAGGGGGCCCAGAACATAATGAATATGCCCTGGTGTCGGCGTGGCACAGGTACGCAGGCGGAAGACACCAGCATGTTTTCTGGTGGAGCTGTGGTCGGGGCCACCCTTGTAGTAGGGAAGCCCGTGTTTTCTTGGTCAGTAGGGGTGAGGGCGATTGCATTAGAACCTCAGGGTTGACATCTTATCCTCACCACACAGCTCTGGCTCCTACCTAGACTCTGAGGGACTTCGTCACCAGGATGACTTTGATGTGTCTCTGCTGGTCTGTCACTGTGCTGCACCCTTTGAGGAACAAGGAGAGGCCGAGCGGCATGTTCTGCGGTCAGCAGATCCCCCACCTTGAGTGTGCCCATTGCCCTGCCCGCCCCCGCCCTTGCCCTATGTGTCTCCTGCTGTAACCATCACACTGTTGCCCCGTCCCCACCCCAGGCTACAGTTCTTCGTGGTTCTCACCAGCCAACGAGAGCTCTTCCCCAGACTAACCGCTGACATGCGCCGGTTCCGGAAGCCACCCAGACTGCCCCCTGAGCCAGAGGTTCCCGGGAGCTCAGCTGGCAGCCCTAGGGAGGCCTCAGGGGTTGGTCTGGCCTCTGGACCAGCTCCTCTGTTCCCCCCGCTGGCTGCAGAGGTGGGCGTGGCTCGGGCACGGCTGGCTCAGCTGGTCCGGCTAGCTGGAGGACACTGCCGCAGGGATACCCTCTGGAAGCGCCTCTTCTTGCTGGAGCCAGCAGGGCCTGATCGGCTGCGGCTCGGGGGGCGCTTGGCCCTGGCTGAGCTGGAGGAGCTCCTGGAAGCGGTCCACGCCAAATCCATTGGGGACATTGACCCCCAGCTGGTAAGGAACTGTGGGTCAGGGGCTGGGACAGATGTTAGGAAGCCCTGGGCAGCCAGGGTGGAGGGTGCAGGGTAGCTCTAGGACAGCACCTCCAGGCCTGTGCACCCCCTGCCCCCAGGACTGCTTCCTGTCTATGACGGCCTCCTGGTACCAGAGCCTGATCAAGGTTCTCCTGAGCCGCTTTCCCCAGAGCTGTCGCCATTTCCAGAGCCCAGACTTGGGAACTCAGTATCTGGTAAGTTCCCTTGACCCTCCTCTGAAAAGGGAGACTTGCCAGAAATCTTCATCAGAGAAACGACACGTCTCCCCTTCACGAACCCAGCCTGATGAAACAAGCTCTGATTTGGAGGGAGGCTTAGATGGAGAAGACTGCAGATACATGTGTAAAAAGCAAAACAAAACAAAAACAAAAGAAAGCAGAAAACATGAGCTCTGAGCATCAGGCCATAACATGTGATTTACTGAGAACCTAAAGTCTGCCTTCAAAGGCTCACAAGAACACACACCTTCCTTGGCTAGAGATCCTGAGGACCAAGTTCTGGAATCTCAGTGGATCCTCTTGGAAGCTGCAGTCCCAGAAGGACCCCTTGGACTTGAAAGCTTTATTCTCCCAAAGTGTGGCCCTCGCAGCAGCAGCAGCACCACCACCACCTGGGAGCTTGCCAAGTACACTCGCAGGCCCCACTCCAGACCCGCTGACTCAGAATCTGCCTTTAGCCAGATCCCCAGGTGGAGGTTGAAAGCACTGCTGGGAAGGTAGAGAAGAGCTGTGGTGGTAGGCATGTGCGTGGGGGCATTCAGAGACGAGGGAGATGGGCCCAGTGAGAGCCATGGTCCAGGAAAGGGGACAGTCAAGAGAGGGCTTCACAAGAAAAAGTAGGAGTTAATTCGTGGTGATACAGCCTAGTACTCATAGGAAAGGTTAGTGTCGAGTTCCTCTGAAGGGCCATCTGGAGAAGCCAGGGCTGTCGGGGTAAGGCTGCAGTAGTGCGGGCGGCTGTGAGCGGATGGCGGGCCCCTGGGATGGTGAGCATGCGGGGTGAGTTTGGGGAAGGGCAGGGAGTTGAGTCTGAGGTTTACAAGGACCTTCTAGGACCACAGTTCGGAAGGTTTCTGTGGGCACTGGGGATTGGCACTCAGGACAGGGAGATCTGGGCAGCATCCATATGAACAGGGGTCACTGCAGCCCTGGGGGTGGAAGAAATCACTCAGGGAGAGATTGCAAAGCTGAGTGTGAGTGACGGACAAATAGGAGGGGACAGTCCCAGGAGAGGTCAGAGAGACAGGAGATTTTGGACAGGTCAGGAGGCAAGGAGGGGTCACATCAAGGGCAGAGAACGCTCCTTCAGTGTTGGGCTTCAGTGCCACCTTTGTGCAGGGCCTCTCGATAGCTGACTTCAGGAGCCTTCCCATCACGCCCCGCTTCCCTTCACTCTGATGGGCCTGGCCGGGCTGGCCGGGGCCGGCAAGGATGAGGACAGGTTCAGTTTGGAGACGAGGTGCTGGGTGGCCGTGGAGCGCAGGTGGGGTCGGGTGTGGAGGTGGAAGCCGTCGTCCTTCCAACTGGCCCCACTCACTTCCAGGGTGCCCTCTGGGATGGTCAGTGCTTCCTCCAATGAGACAAGCCTCTCCCTGCCTCGTTTGGTCTTTTGCTACAGGTGGTGCTAAACCAGAAGTTCACTGACTGTTTCGTGCTGGTGTTTCTGGATTCCCACTTGGGAAAGACGGTGAGCACAGGGGGTGAGGGATTTTGTGTCAGCCTGGTGAGAGGCTGTCCTCCGAACGCCCTACCCCAGAATCTGCTGAGGTTGGGGTGCCTACCCTGTCTTCCTCTCACGAACGTACCCCACTGTGTTCCCTGCAGTCTCTGACAGTGGTTTTCCGAGAGCCGTTCCCAGTGCAGCCCCAGGACAGTGAGAGCCCCCCCGCCCAGCTGGTCTCCACCTACCATCACCTTGAGTCGGTCATCAACACAGCCTGTTTCACCCTCTGGACCCGTCTCCTCTGAGGAATGGACCGCTGAATATCACTGTTGCTCGAATGATGGATCTACAAGATGACCCACCTGAAGCAGGACGGACCAGCCCTTCTGTGCCCTGGCAGGAGCCTGGACACTGGGGGATACCAAAGGATTCGTGACTGTATTCGGGGGAGCCTGCAGCGCCAGCCTGGCGGCAGGGCTGCCCTCCCTCAACACTCACAGCTGCTGACCAGCCCAGGGCTCTAGAGGGTCAGGTCAACTCCCTTGATGTTCCCATCTCCTCTCAGGTCCCTGGGCCCTTCCAGAAAGGGACTCCTCCTTCCTGCTTACCTGGTGGAGTCCCAGTAATTCTTTACGCCCAGTGGCAAGCACTCACCCGAGAGCTCCTCTGCCTGAATCCTGCCTCCAAGTCACCCGCCTCCCAGTCACCCGCCTCCCACCTTGAGCTCTCTGGTCTTCGTTTCCCCCTGGGACATCACTGCTGGACGTCGCCACTGAGATAAGACATCTTGGCTCAAGTCCCAGCTCTGCCTTTGACAGACCTGTGAGCATGGGCAAGTCTCTTTGCTTCTGGACCCTGGTGTCTCATCTGCACATGAGGTGGACCCAAAGCTCACCCATCTCCACAGCAACACGGCACAGACTGGCGGACTTGAGCATGAGCTGCGTCCCTTCTCAACAGGAGGGAAGCGACCCGGAGAATGTGAAGGGTTAGACACTGTGTGTCCCCCCACCCCCAATAACATACACATATGAAAGTGTTCAGCAGGTTGTCTTTAATTCAGAGGAGACAGGATGCTCAACTCGCTGTCCCAGAGAGGCACGTGGGTGGACTGCAGAACCTCACTGGCCAGCCTGTGGGCGGCCCCGCCTATCCCAGTAGGATCGGAGCCAACTCAGGCCCTCCACTGTGTCTCCTGAGGGGGAAGGAAGCTGGCACCTCAACCCAGGAGGAGGAAAACAGCCTTTGCCCAATACCTATCCCTTTTGTCCTCCCCCAGGGCCAGGCCTGGAGCTCTAGCCCATCCTCACCTTGAGGCTGGTACTCGCAACCTACAAAGCCTTTGTAGCCTTCGTCTTCCAGCAGTTGGAATATGTAGGGGAAGTTCAGCTCTCCAGGGCTGCCGGGGTCCCCCCGGCCTGGGACCTGGGCCACCTGCACATGCCCTGGGAACAGATACGGGCAGATGTGAGGCCCAGGCTCCTGCTGAGGGCTGAGGGACAGGTGCAGGGGCTTGGGAGGGTGGGAGGACAAAGGAAGCAGCACAGCATTCCAGGAAGGAGCAAAGAAAGGGACCCTCTCACCAACGATGGGCAGGAACTCCCGGATGTTCCCTGTCAGATTCCCATCCATGATCTGCCAGTGGAATACGTCCTGGGCAGAGAGTACTACAGTCAGAGACCCCCTCAGCACCATCCCCCCCAACACACACACACACACTGTTCCCAGCTCTGGAGGACGTGGGCCCTCTATAAGCAGCACTTCTTTTTTTCCACATACCATTTGTAACTGGAGGTTGGGTCTTCCAACCTTCTGTAAGATGGCCGCCGCTGGGAGAGAAACCCGGAGGGGCTGTCACACTCAAGGGGAGCACGAGAATCAAAGGGAGAGGAGGCAGCCCAGGGCCGGGGTCCTACCCTGCTGGGGTGAATCCAGGAAGTACTGGGGGTCGGTGATGCGGGTGTTAATGGGCTCCAGCAGTCCCACGAGGTTCTCCTGGCACAACGTTGGGTCTGTGAATATAGCTCCTCCCCCAGGTTTGCCATCTACCTTCCAGATACTGGGCAAACCCCTCCCCAGTCCCTCTGACCTCGCGCCTGGCTGCCCTCCACGCCGTGCACCCCCCTCTGCTCACACTCGGGCATGTTCGTGTAAGTGTGTCTTCATTGTCATCTCACCCGAGCCAAAACCCCAGAGGCGTGCCTCAGGTTCTCCAGAAAAACTGCCTCCATTTCACCCCTGACCGCCGCTCGCTCAGCACCCCGTGGTACCCGGCCGGCCATCAGGTGAATCCTGTGGGAGAAGCGGGACCAGAGGGGGCTGTGGAGTACATCCCAGAAGCAGGGCCTTTGCTCCCTCGCCCCGACGTGCACCTCTTCCAGCTGCTCTCCACCCGTTCCAGCACCTTCTGTCCCCCCCGCCCCTCCAGGTCGCTAGTCCACACCACCTGGCCTAAAACTCAGGCCTCAGACACTCCTGGGGCAGCCAAGGCTAAGGCCACACCCTTTCCCTCAGCTCTTCAGAGGGTCAACCCATTCTCATCCTCCTCCTGCCTCAGGAACCTCAGTCCCTCACTTAGCCCTTACCGTACTTTCAACCTCAGCCTATAAACATGCTAGTCTCACCTTTTAGAAATTATTTTGACCCTCTCTCAATTCCATGCTGTCTGTTTCTACTTCTTGCATCTGTTTCTTAGCTTCTCTGATTTGTCCCCCCTCCCCCCAATAATGACCCCTTGCTGCCAGTTCCTTCTCTGCCTATTTGACCTGCAGGATTTGACATTTATTTGATCAGCCCCATTTTGAGCCTTCCACCTCCCTGATCACCATCTTAACTCTCGCAGCCACTTCCAACCCCAACAAGCTACCTCTTGGACTCTGCTGAACACACCAAGCCTCCTCTTGCCTCTGGCCACAGCACCCCTGCCTGGAATGCTCCTTACATCAAGCTAATGTCCACTCCATAAGACCCAGTTCGACATCAACCTGTATGTAGGAAGCTTTCTTTGAATCGAGACAGGTGCCTACTCTGCTCCCACCTCATGAATTGACCCATCCTCAAATGGAAACCCTCCTCCGTTTTCTGTTTACTTTGCTATCTCCCGGGTCAGACTGAGCTCCCAGCATGGGATCCTAGCAGGAGAGAAGCATGAAAGAGTTGCCAACTGTGAATGACACACAAATAAAACATGGAAGGCAATTTACAAAGGATCAGAACTGCAGGGGTGCAGAAGGGCCAATGCGCTCAGCTTCTAAGCCTCAACACCAGGCGTCCTCCTCGCCCTCACCCCGAACCACGCGCGGCAAGGTCATGGGTCATCGAGGGAGGAGGAAAGCAGAGGATGGATACCTGGGACAGCCTAGAGCCTTGGCGTACAGCACAGCCTGCTCCAGCCCCTCTCGGAAGGCCGCCTGCCTCCCGGGAACGGCCCCCAGCCCCATTTCCCCCTTCTCTCGATCTCCTGCAGAGAAAACGGACCTTAGCTCTCTGCTCAACACCCCCGCCCCCAACTCCCGGGCCTCGGGCCCCACAGCGCACCCGGAGGCGTGTTGATCAGCACCAGCTGCAACCCCGCTTCTCGCGCCGCGCGCGCCAGCGCCTCCGGCGGCTCCACGTACGGCCAGGCGACCTCGGCGGCCTCGAAGCCCGAGCTCCCCGCTGCTCGCAACCGCGCGGGGAGGCCGGAGAGCTCGGGGAACAACCAAGACACATTGGCGGAGAAGCGCAGCGGAGCCATAACCCGCTAGGGAGCGCGGGCGCAGGGCAAAGTCCGCGGAGGCCGAAGGCGGAAGCAGACGGCGCGCCGACGAGGGTGCGGCCGGCCGTGCGGGGGCGCGCTGGCGCCGCGCGTGAGGGTCGCGAGCTCTGTGCAGGCCTGTTCTGGTGAGAAAGGCAGTGTGTCGTGAAAACCGGGGACAGTCCAAAAAAGTGAAATATTTTCAAAGAGGAAGAAAGGAAGCGCGGGAAGAGGCGAGAGGGCCGAGCGAGGGCAGCGCAGCCAGGCCGCAGGCAGGGAGAAGCTGGGGAGCTTGGGTGCCCGTTTGGCTGAAGTTGGGGTGGCAAGAGCCCGGCTGCCTCCAGGGCCCAGCTGAAATGCAGGAATGGGACTTTAAGTTACACTTAGTATTTTTTCCTCATTATAAAAATAGTATCTGCTCATTATGGAACACTTGAAAGCTATGGACAGATAAAGAATTATGACCTGATAAAGAACATTTAAGTCACCAATTATCAAACCATTTACTTACTAACTTTTTAACACATTAAAAAAATAAATGCGCAGCTTTTTTCTCAAATTTTTTATCATACTGAATATGTGGTTTTATGGCCTGCTTTTTATTTAATATAATTTTGTGAGCATTTCTCATAGTAAAAAATAAAATTTCAACTTAGTAAATTTGAACTAATTGGCTTTATTCAACAATTCATGAATCAGGCAACATCTCATCTAGCAAGCAGAGAGCTACCCAGAGGAGCCACACACATGAAAAAGGCTTTTATAAAAAGGAGAGTGGGGCAAGGAAGTGCTGACCCAGAGAAATATATACCTGCCAAAAAGGACTCATTGTTAATTGGGCTCAAATGCCTAACCAGGGGCTAGCAATCATTGTTTGCTTTGAACTGCATTTCAAAGTATTGTGCTTCTCTCACCTGAGTCAACCTTTATAAGAGAGCTCCTAAGGGAGAAATTAAACCAATAGAACTGGGATATTTTTCTCCATCCAATCTTTGCTACCCAGTCAGATTGGCTCCATTCCATCCAATCAGGGTAGTGCATTTTGAGCCAAAGTGTAATGATTCGGAGTCCTCATTTCCATGTGCGGGGGCCAATCCTGGACTTGGGGCTGGAACGTTTTTCTTCATAAACCAGCTTCCCTTCCATGTCTGTGGAGCGCTCTTTCAGTTTCCCTCTGATGCGCTGCAACACTGGAGTCGTAACATCAAGGCCAGATCACAATCGCCACAATCACCACAATCACGCTGTTTCCTGATTGAGCTGTCCCAGCCACAGCCAAACTCTTTCATAATTGAGCTGTTATCACTGAATAAAGTCTTTCCCTTCACCACACCCCAAATTGGAAACTCCTGTTGGCATTGAACTGATGATAACGACCTTCGATCTTCAGTTGGCAAAAATCAGTTTTCTTCGGTTGAAGAAAAATGAAAGTTCTTCGGGGGAAAGTAAGTGTGACCAGGACTTACTGGCTGAGTTGTGGCATTTTCCATTGGCTGGCCTTGTTGCTGGGCAAGAAGAAAATCTTCCTTCTTTCAGAGTAGTAAAGTAAATACACCTTCCTCTTGAGATGCAAGATGCAAAAAGTTAGTTCACAATGTTGAAAGAAAATTCTGGACCCAACTACCATGGTGAAATTACTACTAGTTCTCCATTATATGAGGAGGCTCAGCATGCTGTCCATCCACCATGGGCCCCGCGAAGCTTGTATGTTTTATGTTTATACTTTAGCCATTCATGGGTAAAAGTCATCTTGGTCTATTTTCTGTGCTAGCTTTGACAGAAGGAAGCTCAAAGTGCAAACAAACAGTAGGAGCACCCAGCTTCCACTGTCTTCTGTCATGCTAGCCTCCATCCCAAGCCAGGCCCACTCAGACACCTGGAGAGCAGGCTCATCTCAGTGAATCCAAGTGCTTAGCAGGTTCCATCTCAGCTCTGCCTCTAAGAACAGGCTACTACAGATCACCTGATCTCTTGTCCACTTGCAGCTGGCACTTTGACTTGTCCTGCAATGTGTTTCTTGGGTGTAGTCCAATCAGGATGTGAAGTCAATCCAAACTTCAGCATGTTTACAATCCAATGTTGACCATACAGAGTATCATCTAAGGGAAGTAATTTCTTTATTAATACTTCACTGTAAACCTCTGAGTATGAAAATTCTAAGACTTTAAAAGGACCATCATCTGCTAGGGTTTGTAACAGGAACAAAATTTGTCCAGCCACCAGTGATTCACTCCTTTGCCCATCTACCCTTTAGGGCAGCAGAAATGGTATATGAACTAGCTGTACATGACTCACATTTGTTTTAATTCCCTTAAAACACCTTCACTTAATATATCAAAATAAATACAAAAGCTCTTGCTGGTGTCGCTTAGTGGGTTGAGGGTTTGATTTCCAGTCAGGGCACATACCTGGATTGCCGGTCAGGTCCCCAGTTTGGGGGCATGTGAGAGGTAACCAATCAATGTATGTCTTGCACATCAAGGTTTTTCTCCCTCTCCTTCTCCCTCCCTTCCCCTCTCTTTAAAAATAAATAAATAAAAGTTTTAATACATACATACATACATACATACAAAAGGAGAACAATGCCCATGACTGTCTATACCTTATGCCACTTTGCAACACAGGCATTGCACTAAGTTATTATTACAAATCTTGATTCTTTGCATTTAACTCTTAACCAAAGAATTTGCACAGGTATGACAATTAGTTAAGGTAACAATAATTTGTAACGAGTTACATGGATAATGGCTAAACCTTGAGTGTACAGTTGAGTCTCTTTTGATCACTAGATTGCACCTGCCAATGTGGTAAAAAAATGTTATAACCCATGTGAAGTGCAAATAAAAACCTCAATGAAATTCCATTTTATGCTTCCCAGATTGACAAAAATTTACAAGACAGATAATATCAAATATCAGATAGGATTGGAAACAAGTAGAACATTTATTTATTGGAGATAGGAATGTAAATCATTTCAAACACTTTGGGGAAAATGGGGCATTAACTCTTAAAGCTGAACATACATACACCCTAGATCCAGCCATTCCTTTCCTAGGTGTATTCCCTGGATAAACTTTTGCACAAGTGTATCAGGAAACAAGGTCAATGATGTTCTAGTGCACTATTTACATAGCAAAAATTTGAAACTAACCCACATCATATATAGATGAATTGTGGTATAGCGATACATTGTTGTATACAAAAGTGAAGAGAAAGCTGGTGGCTCAAAAAATAAAATTGAGTTTCCTTTTGTATTAGAATCATATATGAAGAGCTTAGTGAAGTTGGGGTCAAACTGAAAACATCAGTGTGAACACCAGATGGGTAAATCTCAGAAACATAATCTTGAATAAAGGAAGCCAATCACAGAGAAACATATACAGTATGATTCCATTTCTAGTAAGTCAAAAGCAGGGAAAACCAAACAATACCTTGTGTAAGGTGTTTGTAAGACACATATCTATAACACTATGAAGAAGAGCAAGTGAATAATGACCACCAAGTTCAGGATGATGGTGACCGCTGTGGGGGAAGGCGGGGGGTGACACTGGACACTTCAGAGGTAATGACACCCCCTTCCCTTACACTGGAAGGTGTGGTCATGCATCTTCATTTTATCACTATTCTTTATATCTTATATCTTATAAATATCATTTTGTATCTGTTTCATATTTAATAAAAAATTTTTAAACCTTCTATATGCATTACTACTACCTGTTAGCACATTTTATGTTAACATTCTTACCATAGTATCATCATAATCTCAAGGTTTTTCTACAGAGTCAGCTTGTTTGTATTAAACTATAAATATCACTTTTTAGATTCAACATGCCACTACTCAGTCTAGTGGTCTTTTGTTGTATTACCTGCTCAGAACCTATGGTAGGCAGCCTGTAAAATGGTCCCCAATGACCTCACGTCCCTTCCCTGTGAGTATGGGCTGGACCTAGCAACTTGTTTCTAACAAATGGAATAAAATACAAGTGGTACAATGTCACCTCAGAGATTAGTTACAAAAAGACTGTAGCTCCTGTCTCGGACACCCTCTCTCACTCTTTCACTCACTTGCTTTGAGAAAAACCAACCGCCATGTTGTGAGCTGCCCTATTGTAAGACCTACTGGCCAGGGGACTAATGTTTCTGGCCAGCAGCCAGCAAGCACCTGAGGCTTGCCTACAGGCCTGGGAGAGAGCTTCGAAGCGGATCTGCTCCTGCTGAGCCTCAAGATGACTGTACCCGGGTTGGCACCTTGATTGCAGCCTTGTCACAGAGAAGGTTTGAGTCAGAGACAGCTGAGCCACTCCTGATTCCTGACCTACAGAAAGTCTTAGATAGTAAATGTCTCTTGTTTCAAGCCACTGAGTTTTGGGGTAATTTGTTAGCAGCAGTAGGTAACTAATAGAGGATCTCTTTCTTCTTCTGGGTACAGTTCCCTTGTTTGGGGGAACTATATCACTTTCACCACCTCTTCACCTTAAGCTGCTATCTTCTCAGATGATTCTGTCTTCGGAGACTCAGTGATTGACCAAATGAGTGGGCACCTGACCCTTGATGGACCAACCACGGCAGCTGTTATAGACATTGCAGGTTGCCTATCCAACATCTGTTTTCTCCTTTCTCCTTCCTAATAGAACCATACCTCGTCGGGACAGTCAGCCAGAAAGAATAAAGCTCATGTACAAGTGAAGTGGCAAAGAAACCCTGAGAGAGGCGTTGTGTTCAGCACTTGGAACCTCTGTAAGGGAACCAGCCGGGCTGGCCTTCGTTGCTTCATCTTAACTCTTTCCAAAAACGAGATGTACCAGAACTAATTTGCTTTTCCCATCTCAAGATCCAGCATGGTGCATTTCAAGGAACACTTGGTTCTCTTGGTGAAAAAAAAAAAACAAGGTAAAAATCTGGACCCTGGACACTGGGACTATGTATTCATATCATTTCATGAATTTATATAATTCCAGATAGCTTGTAGGAGCAGGCTGGGTGGCCCCACAGCAACTTAGGCATTTCAGTGTC